TGTGGACCGATAAGCCGCAGTGTTCTCTAGGGTTAGTTGCGCAATTTAAAGTTTTGCGGTATTGTATACACTTGTTATATCACAATGATCATTAATATTTTCAATAAACATAATCATCTTTGTATTTCATCACTTTGTCAATGGTAAAAAGAAAAACAGTACCAGCATTTACATATTATAGATCAATTGCAATGGTTCAGCCACACTGTTTACATGAAATGTTGATACAACATAGTATTAAGAGCAAGCTTAATCAAACCAATGGTACATAATTTGGACAGTAAAAGCAAAGCCGTGATTATTCAAACAAGCGAGTAGAGCATGGTCCCGATGATGAGCGCGGCCGTGCCGGCAATGCCTGCCGCCTTGCCGGCCGCGGCGTTCTGCTGGTCGGGGTTCCCCGTGGGCGAGATGTTCATGCCGAAGGGAGGCGGCGGGGACGGCGGCGAGAACTGGCCGCCGTTGTCGCCAGCCGGCGAGGGGGCTAGCGCGCCCGCGTGCGTGGAGGTGCCGTTGGTGGCGGCGCGGGGGCCCATGACGACGACGACCAGCTTCTCGCCGCGGTTGCAGTTGTCCTTGTTGCCGCTGATGAAGTAGAAAGGCCCGGAGACGGTGAAGGTGAAGACGGTGTTGCCGTCGGAGAAGGTGTCCACCGGCGAGCCGGTGTCGCAGGCGTCGTACGCCTTCTTGTCGACGATGAGCACCGAGTCGCTGCCGGGCTGGTACGTGAAGGCTGCATGCATGCACAGACGCGGTTAAAATTCGACTAGCTTTATTACTGCACAGTTGAAAGTGGAGAGTAATTAATTAATGCCATGTTGTTACGGCTTCATTAGTTAGTGCCAATCAAGTGGCAGGGCTGGTAATATTGACAAAGTCGGGTGTCTAGTTTGGTCATTTCCGGCGTGCCCGATGCGGACAAAAGAGGCTGCGGCCGGGGAGGCGCCTTCCCCGGTCTACCTTGCCAGTGCGTTCGAGATAGGGAGGCCGTCGTCACTTCTATCTTGAAGCCGTAGAGATAGCCGTTACAGGTTGAACAAGAGATATACAAAAACTTTAAGTAACGACGGCGCCGAAAGCAAACACGTTTGTGCAGATACATGCTGATTAATGCTTAATGCAGATATATATCTTGCCAGTGAGTTGCATCCGACGCCGAAATATATATGCTGATTAATGCACAGCCTGTGTGCAGATATTGAGATATATCACCAAATATACGCGTGTGGACGGATACCCATGCATTAGTGCAGTGTGCTGTCGATCGGTGCTATGAGTAATGCGCGGTATCCGGGCGAGAGGCGGAGCCCCCCTCCACGGATATGCACGCATTAGTCGATGAGATTAGATTAGGAGTGGTAATAGTATATGTGTACACTTGCCTATCGCGTCGCCGACGCGGAAGCGGGTGTGCTCGGCCCACGTGTTGTAGGAGGCCGCGTTGCCGTTGCCCGGCACGCGCCACTGGCCCGTGCCCCCGGCCTTGAACACGAACGCGGACGCGGCGGGCATGCACACGGCCATGGCCAGCGCCAGGCACGCCAAAACCTGCTGCACCCGTGCCATCGCGCGGCGGGAAACTCGAATTTTGTTGTTGGTGTGGGTTTGCTCGTGATTGACGAATGATCAATGCTGTTGTTGTTTGGGCTCGATCGATCGAGATGGTTATATATAATGCGTGCGTGCAGAGTGATTGAGTGATTGTGATCGAGCGAATGTTCTTTTCGTGCGCCTTAGAATGACGCAGGCTGTTCTTTTCGTGAAAGCTAGGGGACGTGACCGCCGGGAGAGGCATATTTCCGCTGGACGTCCATGATGTGAACGAACTTGAGCTGGCTTTTCGGTTCCCACCTTCTTTTTCTGCTGCCATGAGAGCTTTCGGAAGCTATGCTTGATGCCTCCCTTCCTACGTGCTGTGCAATATTCGTGCCTTGGGAGCTGGTTCACGGCTTCTCTTTCTTTTCTTTCCGACGCAACAAGTTCACGACCCCTTTTCTCAGAAAGAAGAGAGGATTCATGCCTTTTCAGGTGAGGTCTGTGCAGTGTGCCTCGACCGGCTAGCGTACTTTTGTTTTTAGGACCCTCGGTATCGATCTGACGTTCCATCTACGCCGGCCTTGGAGCCAACAAAAGGTTCGCTGCTACCACTTTTCCATTTATAAGGCTTGCACGTATTTTTAGGCTGACAAATAGACCAACGTATTGCAAGTTATATATCACAAAATATATGTCATTAGAACTTCAAATCGTCTACTTTCGAATGGTATATTTTTAAATTATACAAATCATCTTATGTAGGTTAAATTATAGACCTAGTGATAGGCGCAAGCCTTATAAACTGGAAATGAGGTAGTATGAGGGAACTCCCGGAGCGACTGTTTTCGTTCGGTCTGAATCCGCTAGGGTTATATGTCGTGGGACCTCCATGTTAGAGTATACGTAGTATACACTTTGTATAGGCAGTGTATGCCGGATCGAGTTTCTTTGCGACCTCCCTCTCATATCTCTCTCCTCGCCGCTGCCGGACGACGCCGGCGGGCAAAGCCCGGGCGGCCGACGGTGGCGGCGGGGCCCTGATGGTTCCACTGCGGCACGTGAAGTGAACAGCAGTGATTGCGATGGTAATTCATGACGGCGCGGCATCAACCAAGGTATAAGGAAAGGGCGGCTGTACGTACTGCTAATTTGCTTTGCAGCGGCTATGGCTGCAGCAGTACGCAAGATGCAGCAGCGGCCATGGCTGGGTGAGGACCAGCGAACATGGGCGGCACTGCAGTCCGGAAGCCGGTTCTCACATAATCGAAGTGGCTGAGAGTCAGTGGAACGCACCTCGCTGCCTCGCTGGCAAGATGGAGTGGAAGGTCGCGCCACTGCGCTCACCGACGGGATTCCTGTGCGCTGGAAGAGGGAGAGAACTCGATCTGGTGCACACGTGTAGTGTTGCCCTGGACCTGGAGCACCTCCCTGGTACTCCATCCGGTCCTTTTTAGTTCGCATATAAGATTTGACTGAAGTCAAGCCTAGTAAAGTTTGACTAACTTTGTAGAAAAAAGTGCCAACATTCATAATCTAAAATCAATATCACTAGATGTGTCATGACTTAAAGTTTCATATTATATAACTTTAGCATGACAGATGTTGATATTTTTTCATATAAATACGATCAAACTTTATGAAGTTTGACTTCAGAGAATTATAATATGCAGAGTAAAAAGGACCGGAGGGAGTACGTGTTGTGACTCTGACTCTGACGACCTACTCGACAAAGATCTGTTTACGTCGAAGGCCATGATCCCGTGATCTGAGGTTCGCCGGCAGCAACCATCTGTGTACCCGTTAGGGGGTTCTCCGCTCGGACCCGCAGGTGATGCACTGTGGTCCTACACTACAGCAAGGGCGGCGAAGCAAGAGACAGCGCATGGTGGTGTCGCCTGATAGATCTATCACCGACTGTCACTTGTGAGGATGATGCGGTTCTGCCAGAGCGTCCTAAGGGATTTTGGCAGTGCCTATAACATTCCTCCATTGTCGACTTTATTGCGTGTGCAACGTCGTTCGAATAGCGGAAAGTGAAAGTGGCAACACAAGTTTACTTCGGTTTGGTGGTGCTTCTCGAGTACCTCGTCTCGAGCTCTGGGGTGAAAACATTAGGTGTTATCCTAGTTGGTTATACCTGGCAATGGCAGTGTTTTTTGCCGCTACCTTGTTGAAGGCATTGCTTGGAACTAGCTCGGTCCTTATCTTCAGGGTGAAAACCCATGATCTAGCCTTCATTGGTTGGATCCGGCAATGGCGGCGCTTCAACATCGTTTCTTTCGTGAAGGCGTTGCTTCTGAAGAACCGTTCTCATGGTCCTTGTGTTGTAATAAGAGAAGGTTGGTGACCATGGTCATTGTTTTTCCTCGTCCACTGTTTTGTTCGCTTTGTTTTTTCATTTTATTTTTATCCTAGGTATAGCTTTGGTCTTGTATGACTTTGCTATTTGTCAGCAGGATTTTTTTTGTCTGTGTTAGTGTTGGCTGTGTGCATTTTAATTGTGCAGAGGCCGGATGTGTATTTATTGTGTCTGTATCCTCTTGATGTTACATTATGAATCAATAAAAACTGCCCTTTATTGAAAAAAGGCAGTGTATGCACCATATAATCTAGGCACGTATGAAGTAGGCACGACGATAGCCCACGATCTGTCTTGGTAATGGCACACAATCACTTTGTAAACCGTATATCCTCAGCCGCAAAGCTAATCGACTTGTGTTGATTCCCATAGTTCTTCTCCTTTTATCGTGGTATCAGATACCCCGGACCAGATCGGTCCTTTTGCACCGGTCGATGATCCCGCTTCCGCCGCTATGGGCGACACCTCTGACTCCCCTCGCTCTCCTGCTGATGGCGGTCCCTCTAGTGCCCAGTGTCAGTTTTTGTTTTTCCTATTTTATTGTTTTGTAGAAAAACAATACCAAATGAAGTCTAAACGCGATGAAACTTTACGGTAATTTTTTCTGGACTAGATGGGACTCAGGAAGCTTCGAGGGGAGATCAGATGCATGAGAGGGCCACAAGCTCAGGTGGTCCGCCCCTAGGGGGCGCCACCCAGGATTGTGGGCCCTCACAACTCCATTGTACCTAATTCTAAGCCTATAAATTCCCTAAAATTCCAAAATCACCAGAGCGATACCCAAAACAATTATTCCGCTGCCGCAAGTCTCTGTTCTTCCGCGATCCCATATGGAGGCCTCCGTCGGTACTCTGTAGGAGGAGGAATCGATCATGGAGGGCCTCTACATCAACCTTGTTGCACCTCTGATGATGTGTGAGTTGTTCTCACAGGACTTACGGGTCCATAGCAGTAGCTAGATTGCTTCCCCTCTCTCTTTGATCTTCAATACAATGTTCCCTTCGAAGTTCTATTCGATATAATCTTCTTTTGTGGTGCGTTTATTGTTTGTTTATGATCAGATTATTCACTGAAAGTAATTGAGTTATTTCTGAACTTTATTATATGTGATTGTTATAGTTATGTAATGCCTTCCGATCTATGAGTTTTGTTTGGCCAAGTTGATGATTAGATCTTCAGTGGAAGTGATGCATAGTAGGTTCAATCTTGCGGTGTCCTCACCTCGTGGTAGAAGGGGTAGCGAGGCATGGATTTGTATTTTGCTACTAAGGATAAAACTACAGGGTTTGATCATATTGGTTGGCCTTATTTTGTCTATATTATGTCATCATGCTTCAAGCATTACTCTGTTTGTTATGAACTTAATATGTAGAGAGGCAAGCATCGAAGCGCTCTCGAAGTAGAGTAATAGTAGTAGATGCAGATGGATGTCAGTCTACATGTCACAGACATAATGCCTATGTACCGATCATGTTGAACAACATCATAATTGTTCTCTTTTCTATCAGTTGCCCAACAGCAATTTCTATACCCACCACTTGCTATGTTCTTGAGAGAGATGCCTCTAGTGAAAGCTATGGCCCCTGGGTCCGTTCACTTCATATTAAAAAAACAAAAAACATTGCTCAATTTATTATCTTTTATTTAGTTTTGTAATTTATATATCTACCATTATCAGAACTAATCCTTGCAATTAACGAGTACAAGGGGATTGACAACCCTCTTGCCCGCGTTGGGTGCAAGTATTTGTTTGTGTCTGTGCAGGTACTGTCGACCTTTGTTTGCATGAATCTCCTATTGGTTCGATAACCTTGGTTCTCTACTGAGGGAAATACTATCTACTACTATATTACTTCACCCTTCCTCTTCGCGAAAATCCCAACGGCTATCACAAGTAGCACTACACTACTTCACCCTTCCTCTTCGGGAAATCCCACGCCTATCACAAGTATCACCCCGCGTCACATGGTGACACGTGCACATGCCGACATCTTCAGGCCCAATCCAAAACACTACAATGTTGCCACTGCTTCATCTCATCAGCCCTCTCTCCGTTGCCAAGCTCTGTGCGAGTCACCATGCGCTATCCCAACTGGCTTCCTGCAATGCGCGCAGAGTTCGCCATGCTCATCAGCAAAAACACCTAGAAACTAGTTCCTCGACCACCGGGAACCAACTTGATAACATGCAAGTGGGTCTTCAAACACAAATTTCACACTGATCACTCCCTCAAGTGCTACAAAGCGTGGTGGGTCCGCGAATTCCGTCAGCGCACCGACGTTGACTATGGAGAAACATTCTCATTGGTGGTTAATCGAACCACCATACGCGTTGTTGATGACCCACAAGTATATGGGATCAATCCTAGTTCTTTTGATAAGTAAGAGTGTTGAACCCAACGAGGATCAGAAGGAATCAATAATAGGTTTTTAGCCAGGTATTCTCTACAAATGTTGTAAAGTAGTTGTGAAAGATACTTTGATAGCAAGATAATTCATAGCAAGTAACAAGTAAAAAAAGTAACAAGGTGTAGCAAGATGGCCCAATCCTTTTATTGCAAAGGACAAGCCAAAGGTACTTATTATAGTGAGAAAAGCATTCTCGACGACACATGGGAATGTTGTCTTCTTATCTTCATCATGGTTCATTGACTCACGTTCACTGCTTTGAT